CTCCGTCTCATACCTTGCTCCATATGGAGGAAGGGGCCATATGCTGCGGTTTCTTTAAGCAGATTGGTATTCTTTTATATGAAAGGGAGGGCAGGCACTCCTTTTGAAACACCCACCTGCACCGCACACGTGCAATGTGGTTCTACGCACGTCAGTGGTTCCATGCACGAATGCAAACGGTCAAACATCTTTGAAGAACTGAAAACACAGCAAACGCACTTCGTCACGCATAAAACTATTGCACTCGACTGTGCCAACTGAAATTTAAGCTCAATGTGCAGGTGTCACGCTCTTGCTAATGGCACTATTGACACTGACAGTAGACAAACCGCGATCAGAAGGGCGATGAACCGAAGAACCACGGCGATATTATTTAACCATTCCGCGCTGATTGGCTGGTATTAGCCAAAGAGCCGTGTTGTTGGATATCAACCGTCGCGCACCAGTGTTGTAGGACTCGAGCCCAGGAGTCGGACTCGAGTCGGTTTTGCCGTGACTCGGATCGACTCGAGTCACTTTGGAAAATGACTCGTAACTCGAGTCATGTATTTTCCTAAAAAGAAAAAAAAATCAAAATTTTTGAAACGAATGTAACATTTCTTTATTTTTAATGTAACTCAACGCCATGAAGTGTCTGGTTAAACACCTCTGTAAGCTTCTAGCTGTACTAAACACTATCGGGTTACTTGAATATGGGCCCTTGCACAGAGGGTTAAAATAACGTGATTAAGTAATACCTGCTTGTATAGTCAAAGTTTTCATGGTGGATTCTTTTTCTTTCAGATAAAAAGCTATCTTTTCGTGTGACATTAACCATAGCTCTTTGGAAAGTGATAAATTAACCTAATTTAGCTAATTTGGTTAGCAAGGCAATAAAAAATAAGTAGGGTTTAACATGTATATATACATGTATATTTTTTTATTGCTTTATTGTCAAGCAAAAACCACATAATTCTGGGTATGCGCAGCAAAAAGCCCCCAGATAGGTCGATAACTTAAAATAAGCGACTCACGACTCGGACTCGAGGCTTGTGACTTACGACTCAGACTCGAGGAACTGTGACTCGCAACTCGGATTCGACACTGGTGACTCGACTACAATTCTGTCACGGACTGAATAAAATGGTTGGGTGCTCCTGGTCGTGCCCTCGACTTTTCTCGCGGGGCGCTGCATGTTGTGGTAAAAAAGTCTATAACATAATGATTTGTAAACTGAGCGAGTTTCCGCCTTGTGTGTGTTATTAAAATGAAAACTATCGCGCGGCAATGTTGTATGTACTGTGCGCGTTTCTAGTCATAGCGACCGCCATATCCGTGTAACGGCAGAGTGAGACGCGACGGGGGGCGTCTTCTTTGATCACGATGATGGTCACGTGCGCTATCCGGGAACACTACCCGTGGTGTGCGCTGTACGACAAGATTACGCGATTAAAGTTTGCCTTGAAATGTTACCGTACACAATAGCGTTTTAGTTGTTTTTAATGGCTTCAAGTACACTATTTACACGATCCACAACCTTTACTGTGGACATAAATTCTGATACATTAGTTACAATATATTACGTTTTAAACTTGGATTTTTACACACTGTAACACACACTTCTGAATCCTAAAGAACGAGATCTCTGTTTCGCTTTGTATGATAACACTCTCCCGTGGACTTAACATACACACATATTTCTAAGCTGCCAGTTTTGAACAAATAAATTAATATTAGGGAGAAAGAATCGTTCGGTCCTTTTTTTTACTTTCCTGTGTAAGACTGTTGTAGGCCTACAGGAAAACTACAAACGGGCGTATTCATTGTGAATTACTGATTTTATGCTGAATGTTGGGATATTCACTTGAAAGGAGGACCGAATATTCGAATGTTCAATTATTCGAAATGACTCAGCCCAAACAGGCATGGAGTCAGAGGCAGGATCACAACCCACGCCCAAATTTGGAGCTTGTTTGTTTCACACGGATTTGGATCGCGATCAGTGATCCCAGAGCTGGTTCGCGCTATCCATTAGGCGGCCTCTGATGTCAGCAAACCAACGTAGGATCAATGATCGCGATCCGGATCCGCGTGAAACAAATAGGCCCCTTAATTTTAAGTCTTCAAAACTTGACTCCAGGATTTGAATCTGAACAACCCAACATTACAGCACTGGAGCTGAAAAAGACACTGTTTTATCCTGCGGCAATATCGTGCATTTTATAA